TCAATGTTTCAAGGATACCTCGTTCCTTAACCCTCTGGGGTCTGAGGTGTTTTTGGGGTCCTTGAGATGTTTTGACATGCCTTGACATTTGTGCTTATTTCAGCTACTTAAAACATACCATTTGCCAACATATAAATTTGCTGTATTCAGCACAAACTCTGCTACAATAATATGTGAGCAAAATGGATGTACATGTTTGCATTTTATAGAAAAAAAATATTATGCGTGGTTAGTACGTTTTGGGGAAAACAAATGTCACCGCAATAAGGCCATTTAACACATACTGAATAGTTGTCCACAAGACTTTTGAGTTACTATTCTTGTAGGCTAGAATTTTTCTTCAAAATGAAGTGAAAATCATTCTGACCACTCTTTCACAAACAACAATATAACGATTTAAATTTCTTACGTCAGTTTTTGGTCAGCACTGCTGTATGTGTGGGAGTGTGAATGGCCCTGAATATTAATCTGATTTACACCTGGGTGGGAAGAATAAAGTCACTCCCCCAATGGCCCATCAAGGTGTTGTGAGGCAGCCTGAACTAAGAATGATTCACTGATGAATAAAAAGTTAAAAAGAACAGCATTTATTCAAAATAGAAATCTTTCCTAAGAACGTAAAGACTTAAAGTCATTCCTATCACTTAACACATCCTTTAAAAAAACAAACGTAAAAAGACCAAACTTGTTTTTTTTTATTAAAAAAAATGTATTCAAAGAATCCTAGAAAAAACTATTACAGGTTAAAAAAATTAAGCAGCACAACTGTTTCCAACATTGATTTTTTTTAAAAATCATATCAGAATGATTTCTGAAGGCTGATGGTTAGTTAGGTAAGTTAACGGTACATCTCACTGATGCTGACATCTGTCCATTTATATTTGCAGCCTTTTGCAGTTGCCTTGGCAGCCTGGGTAATAGACTAACCAAAACTGAACATTTATATATAAAAAATATATTGTATTTAGACAGTTTCACATATTTGTATATTTGCAGCCTTTTGCAGTTGCCTTGGCAGCCTGGGTAATAGACAGTGTTGTGCAAGTTACTTCCAAACTGTAATACATTATACATTACTTGTTACTGTAATTTAAAAGTAATTCATTACCTTACAATATTACTGTCTCAGAATTGTAATGCGTTACATTACTCCTGTATTACTTTTGAGTTACTTTCACCAAAATAGCTATACAGTAGTAGAACTTAACATTCTAAGGCTGTAACGATATGCTATATGAAACCGAAATCGCGACACTCAGATCCACGAACCTGCAGAATCGCGACACACCCCTTCCAACTCCAAGAGTTATCCTTCCCGTCCAGATCCAATGCTACCACATCTTTAAATTACTATTAGTATTATTTGAATTTTGAAGTTAACATTATAAAATACGTAGACCTATACCACAAAACTAGTTGAGGATAAATTATTTAAAATTGGGGAATTCCAGCGTTTTGGACGTGACATTTGCAGTCAAAACTTGAAATATAAATTCTCAGAAAATGCATTTAATACCAATATATTGAAACGTCTGTTTATCCATAGGATACCCCCTTAAAAGAGTCCAGACATTAGAAAAATATCAGTCTACACATGCGTTTTATATTTAATTTGAGGGAAATTCACGCATTCATGCGTGACAAAAAAAATATTTAACTTTTAGGAGGCAAAATATTTTTTTGTAATTCGGTGCTGAATTACACTGCGCAAATCAAAAGTAATACTACCCACCAGATAAAGAAGGGTTGGCTCTCCACAGAACATAAAATATTCATTTTATTTTATTTTTCGTGTTCGCATTTATGAGGAAAAAACAATGTAGGCCTACGTGACAGTTCTCCGTTAAGCCTATTATTGACTGACCACGAACAGGTAACTTAGCCTACTTGCATTTTTCATTCGTTAATGTCTCGCGGTCTTGGTGTTTTTTTTATGTTGTTTTTTTACAATTAAAACTAAAAGTGTGTTGTAACGCAAGCATAACTGAACATGTAATATAGTAAAATATTACTGAAAATTTATTAGTAATGCCTTACACTACTGCGTTACAGCAAAAAGTAATATGTTACTGTAATGCATTACTTTTGTAACGCGTTACTCCCAACACTGGTAATAGACTAACCAAAACTGAACATTTATATATAAAAAATATATTGTATTTAGACAGTATCACATATTTGTATAGGCGTCGATTTCGGTGGGGGCGGTGGGTTCGCGTCCCCACCAGATTTCGTCATGAGTCATTTTGTACCCACCACTTTTGGAAACATTGAGGCACGGATGTACCTAATACAAATAAAACATCTCCAGTTAACTAGCAGAGCATTCATTTAGTCCGCTCTTAAATAAGAGATCTACCGCTAAAATGTTTTGTTTTTGAACTCAAGCTAAGCGCTCGTGTCCGCTGCTATCAGTGTCATTGATACAGTGTTCTCTTGTGGCGGCGCGCGCGCAGTCTTCACTCGGACGCGCTCTTCAATCTATCGCCGTTGCGGCGGACACTATTCATTCCGGTGAAATCACAAAATAAAATACACACTAACATGTGTCACCCGTTTACTTAAATTTGATTACAGTGCAGTCTTGCCCTCCGCAAAATGGCGGACCCGTTGACGTATCGCAGCAACGTTCCAAAGCGGCCAATAGGGCATCTATGTATTTATTTTGTCTATGGGTACATGCATGTAATGACCCAATACCTACAAAAAAGTATCTTGGAGCGTATCCCTAAACACAACAGGAAGTCAGCCATTTTTATCTTTCTCTCTGATTTTTGTGCAGTTCTTGCCATTTTCAGGCATCGTACTTTAACAAACTACTCCTACAGATTTTCAAATTTGGTGAGTGTAATCTTAAGTCCTTTGCGACGTTAAATAGCGAAGATCTTGTTTTTTCGTCGAAGGGCGTGTCCTCGGCGACCTAACAAATTTTGATGTTTCGCCATGAAACAGGAAGTTGCTGTAACTCAGGCAAACAATTATGGAGCTAATAATATGACAAAATGATTTGAATTTGAATTGTGTAAATTTGAATTATTTGCAAGTGTAATCTAACAAAACTGAATCTTAAATAGTTCTGAATTTGAATTTTTTTGGAACGAATATTGAACATCTGAAATTTAACAAACTGAAAGGTTTTTATGGCTGAATTTTATAGACATGTATTTTCAAACAGCTAGTTTTTGTGTTCTGAATTCAAATACTGCAAAATTTCAGTTTAAAAAAATACGGATTCAAGTTTTCAAGATGAAGAAATTCGGAACGTCAAATTCAGTTTTCTCAAATTCAATGTCAAAAATTCAGGTCTTACAGAAAGTAGGTCACAGGGAAGAGTAGATGATCTCGGAAAAGTCGAACAGAGCATTTTGGCCAATTAGGGACTGCAGAAGTTTTCCAGTGCGAACGTGGTGGTTCAAGAGGTTGCCGCTCTCTGACTCTGATCATGAATCGCCCGGAGGTCAGTTAAACATGAATGATTTTGTGTTTGTTAGGTTAGCGTTCTCAGCACGTGATACATTTGTCTAAGAGGTCTCTGGTGTTTGTTTTAAAGTATATTTTGTGTAATATTTTGTGTAAAATTGATTAGAACGCCACCGTGTCTACTACACAGACAGGACGCGAGCGGCGCGAGCAAAACAAAAATGTATTAGTGCAACTTTCATTAAGTAAAATCACCAAAAGCCTTCAACCAAACTGAGATGACCCGGTTTTATACATAATGCCTACATAATGCAATTGTCCTTTCAATATTAAAGTCTTCTCTCCTGACTGATGACTGACTCAGTAATAAAGACTGTCTTTGCCGCCATCTAACATTACAGGCGAAATATTTTAACTTATGCTGCTGCTCACGGCCAGGGACTATTTTTTTTCCAGCGGAAGGTTGAAGGCTTTTGGTGATTTTACTTAATGAAAGTTGCACTAATACATTTTTGTTTTGCTTTATTATGATTATTGAGTGGCAATCGCTTTAGAAAAGCAATACACGGTACTCAAGGCTAGTGCTGTCTTGTGAATAAGTCACGTCTGAAAGGGTTGCACTTGCAAGCACTCTGGTTCGCGTCGTATTCACGATACAGCACCATAGCACACCCTCTCGTACCTTATGCTTACATGTACGACGCAATCTAGACCGGACGCAAGCGGTGCGACGCGACCAGTGAAATCCCCAACAGCACACGATTACCCATCCTATTTCTGACCTAGTCCCAGCTCTTTACAACAGTCGCTTCAAGCACTGTGTTGCGCCGCTCGCGTCCTGTCCTGTCTGTGTAGTAGACACGGTGGCGTTCTAATCAATTTTACACAAAATATTACACAAAATATACTTTAAAACAAACACCAGAGACCGCTTAGACAAATCACGTGCTGAGAACGCTAACCTAACAAACACAAAATCATTCATGTTTAACTTACCTCCGGGCGATTCATGATCAGAGTCAGAGAGCGGCAACCTCTTGAACCACCACGTTCGCACTGGAAAACTTCTGCAGTCCCTAATTGGCCAAAATGCTCTGTTCGACTTTTCCGAGATCATCTACTCTTCCCTGTGACCTACTTTCTGTAAGACCTGAATTTTTGACATTGAATTTTTGACATTGAATTTGAGAAAACTGAATTTGACGTTCCGAATTTCTTCATCTTGAAAACTTGAATCCGTATTTTTTTAAACTGAAATTTTGCAGTATTTGAATTCAGAACACAAAAACTAGCTGTTTGAAAATACATGTCTATAAAATTCAGCCATAAAAACCTTTCAGTTTGTTAAATTTCAGATGTTCAATATTCGTTCCAAAAAAATTCAAATTCAGAACTATTTAAAATTCAGTTTTGTTAGATTACACTTGCAAATAATTCAAATTTACACAATTCAAATTCAAATCATTTTGTCATATTATTAGCTCCATAAACAATGTCCAATCTGCCCCAAACTTCACACATTTGATAAGAGTTCTGTCCTGAACACATGTCCATGCTCATATTCAGTTACAGTCATAGCGCAACAGGAAGTGACATGTTTAACACTGTTGTGGACTCATAATAAGATATAAAAAAGTGCAAGCAAGTGCTAAACATGCTAGCAACCAGTGTTGGGGGTAACTCATTACAAGTAACTTGAGTTACGTAATCAGATTACTTTTTCAAGTAACTAGTAAAGTAACGCATTACTTTTAAAATTTTCAACAAAATATCTGAGTTACTTTTTCTAATAAGTAACGCAAGTTACTTTGTTTTCCCCTTTATTGACTGACTGCTCTTCTGTCCTAATGTTGAGACAAATCGAAGTGCAGAGGCGCTGTGTGTAAACATGATGGTTATTATAGTTCTAGATTAAATGTAAGCGTGGATTTACTCATCTCACTTGCACAAAAAAGATTCAATATTCCTCAAAATGAATAAAATCAGTGAAATGCAGAATCAGAACACTATGCAAACCTCCAATACCTAAATATGTTAAATAAAACATACATTTTTATGCATTTAATCTTTATTGACCAAAGTACTTGCTTCTGACCTCCGATTTTTTCAGTTAAACCATAAGCAAAAATGACTATAGATTTTTTTAATATGTTTTTATTGGTAGAGTAAGTGTTAAATTTGTTTCTCCTGCATCCTCTTCTTCTGTTACCCAGAACAGCAGCAGCTGAAAGGTTTGTTTGAGAGGCGCCCACTACTGAACACTACTGTACTCTACTTTACAGGAGTAAATCTGCATTTCCTTCAGTCTGAGGCTTATTATTTCACTTTTGGTGTGAAAGGGTCTTTACATTTGCCCAAAAATATATCTTTCTTTGGTATAAAAAAACAAGCCCAGCCCAGGTGGAAAAAAAGTAACGCAAAAGTAACGTAACACATTACTTTTCTAAAAAAGTAACTAAGTAACGCAATAAGTTACTTTTTAAGGGAGTAACGCAATATTGTAACGCATTACTTTTCAAAGTAACTTTCCCCAACACTGCTAGCAACATACTAGAAACATGCTAAAACATGCTAGCAAACACTTACCCCAGTGCTAAAGCATGCTATTACTAAAATTAAATAGGAATTTGCTGTAACTCAGGCATGGAATGTCAAATCTGCCCCAAACTTCACACGTTTGATAAGAGTCATGGCCTGAACACATCTACATGAGAATATTCAGATATAGTAATAGCGCCACCTACTGGCAACAGGAAGTGACATGTTTAACACTGTGATGCAGTACTAGCAACATATTAAATATGCCATTGAGTTATAAACATGTTAGAAACATGTTAAAACATGCTAGCAATTCTTAGCTAAGTGCTAAAGCATGCTAATGCAATGAAACAGGAAGTTGTTGTTACTCAAGAAGGCAATGTCCAATCTGCCCCAAACTTCACACGTTTAATAAGAGTTCTGTCCTGAACACATCTACATGACAATTTTCCGTTATAGTAATAGCGCCACCTACTGACAACAGGAAGTGACATGGTTAACACTGTATTGCATTACTAGCCACATACTAAAATATGCCTTTGTGTGCTAAACATGCTAGAAATATACTAAACATGCTAGCAACACTTAGCTGAGTGATAAAGCATGCTATTGTCATCATAATAAAGGACAATTTTGTAACTGGCTTTGACATACTCCTCCTATATTTACCTACTTAAATGCACATTTCCCACCGTGCTCTGTCTTCCTAAACCACCGGGTGGCAATAGCACGGGTGCGAGGGCCCTTTCATCGCTGCTTGCAGCTTTAATTTGATATTAATCTCGGTGGAATTCTCCCAAATTATGATATAATGTTTTTTTAGCTGATTATTTTCTGGAGGATGATGGTATTGACGAACAGGACACATTCTTGGATGAAACTGACGAGGAATTTGACAGTAAGTTTTTGTCATTATTTTATTTTTATGCTAAATGTATGTATACTGAAAATGTATACTGTCACTATTCAGCTGATGTAATGCTAACACAGAATTCATCCTGTTGTAACGGGTGTCTGCAGTATTTAACAATTAATTAAATTGCTATTGGTGCAGATAATTCATCAGAAGATTTTTTTTTAAGTTCGTAAAGGAGGTAGCGGGTTGTGGTGAGAAACAACAGACAACACAAGATAGTTGTGAACTGGTATGTAATTTTGGTTCCAATGAAAATACACAGGATTAGGAACAGTAATTACAATGGCAATTATACACACAGTTCAACCTGACAATTTTCCCCAGAGTGCACTCTTCTTTTACCCCAAAACATACAGACAATTGGAATGACAAAATAAAATAAAATAAAGTGAATAAAATACTGAATAATGGAGTGGTGTTTTTTTCTCTTTTTTCTTTTAAACACTCTCTCACAATATCACAGATGTCAATCGTTTGATTGAACAAGAACCTCTGTATTAATCAGATTCACTATCAATATTAGCGCTTTCAAAGCACATATCAGTGTCTTATCAGTCTCTGTATTCGGTTATCAATCTTGGAAAAGAAAGAAGAAACTCAGTCTCTAAATATGACTTGTCCCGCTACTGCAAGACTGGAGAAGGGAAGAAAAGGATATTGTCCCCTTCCCTATACGAGTTGTGATTCTTTCACTGTAGTAGATTCGGGTGGCTCGCCATCAAACTGGAAATCTCTCACAGGATATCACCGATCATCACAATTCGCAGCACCAAAGACAAAATAGAAATACAAAGAACAGAAAGGAAAAGAGAAAACAAAAAAGAAAGAGAAAACAAAAAAACCTGGCCTGATCACAGACCAGAACATCCATTTAGTGATTTCAGAAATAATGTGTTCACATCACAGATCAAAACAGTCAAAATATCAATTAAACATAATATATGTACCTCTAGAACAATCTTTTTTTCTTACACACACAGGCGCACGTGACCGATAATGGCGCCAGTGAACTGAAATGGAGGAATAACCACGCGGTTCACTATGACCACATTTACAATCATTTAGAATGAAATAATAAAATTAAACAGTAGAACATAGCAATATTTTTACACAAGAACTTGTATATTACTCATTTACCTCTATATAAAGTGACTTCTGCTTTCACCCAGGCGCGTCTCACAGGCCCGCATGGCCAGCAATGGCGATGGTGAACGAAGAAAATTCACACGATTCACTATCTCCTCTAACGTTGAAATATGACATAAAATTGGAAATAACATTGTTTTTGTCAAACGAATTACCTCTTTCATCGTTTGGGAAGTTTATCCATTTTTCATCGTGTTGGGAAGTTTATACATTAACTCTTCCCATTTAAAAAGTTATGTTGACTCACCGGAGTAAAATGCAACTCACTCAGCTTCTCCATACACTGCACGGGATATGAAATGTATGAAATTAACGTTTTTCTAACTTTTCTCTCAACTATATACTTGTATCTTATCACGAAGATCGACTCACGTCCTCTCTTCTCTATGCTCAACTCTTTTTCTCGTTGCGCAGCGCAGGCGCCTCCACACACACGCTCAGCGCGTGATGTCAGAGCATTCTCATTGGTCAATCGCAATTCAACTAATAATAACTGCTTTTCTTAAATCGCCAAATATTTTTCTTAAATCGCTTTTACACTTAATTTTCTTACCTTTATTAGGGAAATTAGATGTCAATAAACTGCAATTAAATTAAACTCAACTTCCTTTATTTAACCTGTGTTACACTGTGATGCAAAAATAGTGGATTTAAATGTTTATTACATATTTGTTGTTTGGGATTGAGTCAGTTAAATTAATTACGTTTATGACATGATGTTTATTTGTTTGATTACACTCTGAATTGAAGTCTGCTTACCATAGCACCTGTTTCTTGTCCCTCTGCCCTCCCCTCAATTAATCAGATCCAGTCTGACTAAACTGAAAAATATTTCAGTTGATATTTTCATATAAAATGCTTTATTATCCACTTTAAATGTGGAATTTAAATCCAAACGAAAATAAATAAGCGAAAAAACACTGATATATTTCATACATATTTAAAGTTTAAATGTTTATTTACCACTAATTGGACAGATTGACAGAATAGGGCAAATATGGATAAATATATAAGTTTAAACAAAAGAAAAGCAGAAATGTCACAGCCCAGAAGACCGACGGACATCAACCTGGGACCACCACCACCCAAAAAAAAATTAAATCAGACAGTACTGTAAGCCAGGTAGCAGACAGTTAAGTTTACGGTTTTACATGTATCGGAGATGCTAGCTGTCCCACACATGGACGGCGCTAGGGAGGGGCTAGCAGGTGCTTCAGCACCCCCAAGAAAGACCAAAGCACCCTGATAGCACCCCCAAAAATAATTTTTGGATTTGGCTTACACGAACTTCCAACACAAAGTGAGTAAACATAACACGCCAAATTGGCTAGTGATTTGACAGCGTTACCCGCCAAAGTTAATTTTTACCCGCATTTGGCGGGTTGGGGGGTGTTGATTTCAAACCCTAGTCCCAGGTGAAGATCACCTCTCGCCCTCGCAGCTTGCAAGATGAATTTACAGTTGTGTTCTAGCCCCTGCCCGGTCGAACTAACCTTTTTTAGCACCATATTGAGACTGAGCCCGGTGTGGTAGTGCGCAGTCGGCAGTTTAAATTACCTGAACATAATAATAATAATAAATTGAATTTGTATAGCGCTTTTCTCGAACTCAAAGTCGCTTTACAGGGCAGATGAATAAGCAAAAAATAAAATAAAAATCAGATCAGATCAGGCACATATAGAGATGGGAGGGCCGTGGGGCTACGGATAGGCAGAGGTGAAGAGATGGGTCTTGAGACGGGACTGGAAGATGGTGAGGGACTCAGAGGTGCGGATCTCATGGGGGAGGGAGTTCCAGAGCCTGGGAGCTGCCCTTGAAAAGGCTCTGTCCCCAAAACTGCGGAGCTTGGACTTGTGGATGCAGAGGAGACCACCTGAGGTGGATCTGAGGGACCGTGAGGGTTGGTAAGGGGAGAGGAGGTCAGTGAGATTTGAGGGGGCCAGGTTGTGGATGGCTTTGTAGGTAAGGACCAGGATTTTGTATGTGATCCGGTGGGAAATGGGAAGCCAGTGTAGTTGTTTTAGGACTGGAGTGATGTGGTGCCAGGATTTGGAGCGAGTGATGAGTCGGGCGGCTGCATTCTGGACCAGTCGGAGTCTTTTCATGTAGTTTGAGCTGATACCAAGGAGTATTGAGTTGCAGTAGTCCAGTTGTGAGGAGATGAAGGCGTTAGGGGTGGGCGGTATGACCAAAATTCTATTTCACGGTATGACTCATTTTATTTCACGGTAACGATATATTTCACGATATAGTTATTTATATATGTAGTTATTCTCGAAAAATCGACAAAAAGGGCTTTGTATAATAAATAAACCCAAATACTTTAGAAATGAAAAGTACTTCACATTGTTTTCTTTTTCTCTTATTTGGTAAATTATTTATTTGGTAAACTATTTAGATAGCTAAATATAAACAAAACACACTCATCAACTTTTAGATGAACTTCCCCCAACTGATTGATATTAAATACAACTCATAGGTGCAATTAAACTTTAAATAAAGTGTTTCTGAATCATTTTTCAATCTCATGTTATGCTTTACTTCATCAATCAGTTTATAATATCTGAATATTTTATATTGAACTATTCTATTCATGATAAATTAGTTACTTCCTTTTAATTTTTTAGGATAGTAATACTAGTTATGTTTAAATGTGTTCCCCGGTACATTTTTGCCATGTCTGCTTACACTGCGTTTTTAAGGGGCTTGTTTTGCTCTTTTTGTGATATCTGGCAACCCGTCACCCTGCGCTTTAATCAATAGAAGTTCAGAAGTGACTAGGAGGAGAACAGCAGCTACTGTTAGTGTTGACAAAGTAGCCTAGTTTAAATTATACACACCTTGTAACTGCGTCATTATTTGACCATAGCCCAGTGAACACCGCGCTCCCTCAGTGCGTGTGCACGCGCGCGTCTTCTGCATCAGTAAAATGCGATCGGTTAATTTGAGTGTGAAGTTGTAATCACGGATCGAATCAAAGGAAGATTTTATCAGCTGGTTCGGTGGCCAATTGTTTGGAGTTAGAAATATATAAATCCCGATGCATATTTAGTAATTTTGCCTCAGATAGGCTACAGGATTATACATTCACTTTAACAAGCAGGTTGTTCATTACCACGGGCGGCAAGCTGTTTGCGTGTTTAAAAACTATACATAAGAGACGGAAAGATGCAGATAACTATACATTATTTAAGGTTATTTATATTCGTTACGATATTGATAACTGTTGTTGTCCAGCTTTCCCCGTTGCGAGCGTGCACTAATCTGTAGCCTGGGTGCTGCACTGCTCTAGTGACTGCTGCGCCTTTCCCCCCGAAAATATCACGTTAACAACAACCCTTTAAAAAATGTAATT